GTTTTCAGTTGGAATTAAAGGATGTAAAGAAAAATGAAATCGAACCAATTGAATAATATGTTCACGCTGATCTTTTCGACAAAAAACTTTGTATTTATTCAGATCGACTACAGACGGATTGTCTGGAAGATTTGTGGGCGAAAGTTCACTAAGCACTTGTTGATTCCTTGGTTTAGGTTGCCAAGTCGGATCTATTATTGTACAAGTAACATGCGCTTCATATGCATTATATGCTGGGTAAATGATCCCTGTGCTAGAAAGTTTTTTTTTTATAGCACGAAAAATGTGCCAATAGCATAATTGAACCCGTGCCTGAGGCCAAACTTTCTGAGCAGATGTGATATGAGAAAAATCTTTGTCTGTTAAAAAGGTTTTAACATTGTAAATACCCCGTTGCCTAATTATGTTAAACCAGTTTAAAAGACTTGTTGAACGCTTTTCTTCTTGATTAGGTTTTAAAAATAAATAAGTCAAAGGAAATCCGGCCCCATCAATTATTCCAAGAATTGCGTAGAGTTCATATTTTAGTTGATTAGTCTTAAATGTAGCATCGACGACAATGGTAGTAATTAGTTTTTTTGAAAAAAAATTAAATAAAGGGGTTATGAAAGCGATAGCTGTGGGCTGTTGAATAATTACTTTAAATATAGTAAACTTTGAAAGGTATAAAATTGTTGATTCTACCTGATCCTCAGCCATTCTATATTCATCAAATTCCAACCTTTTACACCAGTAATAAATTTGACATCGTGTAATATAAAGATAGCCATCGAGGTGTAAATCCTTTATATTATGATATATTTGGGCACTGTAAGAAGCCGATTGTTTTGAATGTAGCTTTTAATTTCAAATGATATGGATACAGACTGAGGTCGTGGATGCAGCAGATGATGGATGCGAATATAGGCTAATTCATGTGATCGCTTAATTGTAGTAAGGATATACCCTTCACATTCAAATCGTGGAAGTCGGGGCTCGGTGTCTCGTTGCTTATTAAAATCTTCAATTCGTGCTTTTTTATTTATTCT